TTCTTATTGGGCATCCTGCCGGAAAAGGATGATAAAAGAAATGTATATTTGATTTTACATGCATTAACTGCCACTAGGATTGTATTTGCACAACAATGAGAAAGGGATAAGATCCCGACATAAGAATGTAATCAAAAAATATTAGAATGTAAAGAAATGGATAGATTAATGCTTACAATTAAGGAAAAAGAAACTGAATATTTATTGATAGGGGACTGATTTTATCAATGGTTAAATAATAAAAACAGAAGTTAGAAATATGGGGATTTAAAAAGGACAAAAGTTATAAAGGAGATTTGTTAAAGTAGATAAGTTAAATATTGTTATTATAGTATTATTATTATGATGATGAATGCCATTGTAAACATCTTGATTATGATTGTTTAAAAATAATTGCACCTGGACAGCACACTGTTTGATTAAAATTGAGTTTTTATATGTTATATAAATAAAACATGAGAAAGAAAGAAACCATGCCCCCTCTGGTCTGCGGAAAAACTTCACGGAATCAGTTCCTGGTGCCCCAAAGGTTGGGGGCCATTGCCTCAGAAAATAGCTGAATGAACATTGAAAGAGAGTGAAACTAATTGTAAATACTCCCAACAAAATGTTGATAGCATTTGCTTGAATCAATTGGGGGGAAGGGGTGGAATAATCTGTATACATAGTTTCTGCTGTATTATAAGGGACATTTTTTAATTGCAGAATCAAACTAAAAACCTAGGTGTCATAAGGACAGGGATATCGGATCATCTCGGTGTCTTTGTCAACATTTTCTCAAAAGAATAGACTGTTTCTCTCATCATTAGGAAATTTCTCTTATTCTCCTGTTACATTGCTAGCATGACTTAAATCTCCACTCTCAGGGAAGAACATACTGAAAGGTAAAATATCCCTTCTGCCTTTTTAAATAGGTCTTTATTGTCTCTTAGACTCAGGTGCAGTCTCAGAGGGTGTTACTGCTTCAGGGAACAGAAAGCTTGAATCGAGCCACTCAGAGCTTGGATCGGACACACCAAATTGCCGCAGAAACTGATCAAATTGGTAGTGATATCATTGAAGAACTAGGTGGGCAGCGTGAGCAGCTGGAACGGACCAAAGGCAGAGTAAGTTTTCAAAATGCCACTGGCATAGTACAGTCTTTTTTTTTTTCTCCTATCAGCAAATAGGAGACTATGGAAAAAATAAATATTTCCACACTCCCAGCAATTCTCTCTTCCCGTATCACTTTTCTATGAAGCTTTGTTCTTTCATGATGGGGATAATGCTGAGAGGAAACTATAATGAAATAGCAATCTTTAGCTTATACAGCTATGTAATGTAACAATATAGTTAACAAATTACATTTTTTTTTTGGTTCTGGCAATAAAACAGGTCTACTTTTTCTAAACTTCCAGGAATCAAATACTGTTTTCTTGAGACTGGATTTGATCTTCCTTGGATATGTGTTTTAATTTATTTTAAAAATAACCCTTATCTTTTAATATACTGCTGAAATCTCAGAAACTAGATAGATAAATACATAGTCAGTGTCCAGTGATGAAATTTACTTATGGTCTCTGCTCTGACACAGATGGAATCTTAACCAGCCCTCAAATGCTGTTTCTTGTTTATCTGATATCTTTGCGATTCACTATCAGTATTTTTCTCTCTCAGGAAAAGACCAAGATTTAACCTTGGATAGTGTGTTATTTGGACTTGTTATCAGAAACATAATTCAGTCTAAAAATACAGAAATAGATAAGTTGGGGTGCATCATACTTCTTTTAATTATTATTGCAGAATGTTATGGTCAGGAGTTGAGCTGACACGATGTGTTCCAATTGTTATCTTATTTAAATACCTTTCTCTAAATTTGGCTCGATCTCCTAATTTCAACATTGTGCTTCACATACAACGCTTTCCAACTGTCAAAAGTAGCACCCTAAATCCCTTGCCAAGCAGATGGGAATTCATGGTTGTTTTTTTCTTGACAGTTAGTAAACACAAATGAAAATTTAAGCAGAAGTCGGAAGATCCTACGTTCCATGTCAAGAAGGTTGGTGAAATGATGCTTTAAAATGTGCTCTGAATCTTGGATCAGAATGTTTTGTATGTTTGGGATTTTTGTGAAGCTTATTCCTTTGGTGTAGGCTTTGGTGTATGTCCCTATCAAAGAATGGCTTTCATTTTCATACAGATGTGGAAAAGATGGCAATATTCAGGGGTCAAGTTCAGCAAGTTGTAGTTAGGAGTTAGAAAGTAAGTTAGGGCCCCATATATAATTTGTATGGCTAGTGCACCTTTAGGCATTTTGTGCATAAATGCAAAGTCCAACAGTGAGGGAGCATTAGTGAGTTAGATGCTGAATAAATCCAAACCAAGCTTTGCTGGGGCTACAACATCTAGGCTGCAAACCACTGGACAATGAGTAGAAAGCAGCAAAAGTAGAAAGCAGCAAAACCTCTTTGCTTCCATCTAGGGGTCACCTGGATTTTTGCAGTCCAGATCTGGTAATTTAGCTTTTGCTAAAGAGTGAGAAGGAAAACTTTTTTGCCAGTTCCTCCTTTTGTATGCAGCACTGTGACTTGCCCCATGCTATACAGCAGTGGTCACCAACTGGTGGGCCGCGGCCCACTGATGGGCCTTGAGAAAATTTTGGTGGGCTGCAGAGAAATCTCACCCCCAGAGCACCCCCACAAAGCAATTAATCCAGGCTGCGCAGAAACACAAGACTGTGCTGCCCACATGGCCCGCAGGAACACTCCCCGCCCACTCACTCCTTACCTGGCAAACTTGCCTGCTAAAATTGCTATTTTTCCTTTTTCCAACCATCATCTGTTCTGCTGTGCCAGGAGATTTAGATTAGCTAGGAAGCAGGAAATGGTTGGATTTCTTGCTTTCTAGCTAGTCTTTAGAAAGTTTAGATCTTTGGCTCTGCAAAACCTCCCTTAGGACTGAAGGTTTGCTTGCAAGCAAATTCAGTGCGGACTCACAGCAAACAAATTTGAGAGACTGAGCTAGCTGATGGCAGATAGATCACTGAATGTGATCACTGTGAGCAACTCAATCTGGCGGCTTTGCCTGGTTTGGGGTAAAAATTGCTCTTTTTTAATAAAAAATTCAATATTTATATAAATATTTATAATATTTACATACAAGTCAGTCACCTGACCACCAAGCCACACCCACAAATTAGGCCACGCCCATAGAACCGGTTAGTGGTCCCTGGGATCAAAAATTAGGAGTTTGGATGGTTCCTGAGGTCCAAAAGGTTGGTGACCCCTGCTATACAGGACAGCTAAAGGAATAAAAACCCTACAATGAACTCAAATATTTCTCTAGCTATAATATTCTTTAAGTGGATACTGTAGGTTGATTTCCCTCCCCCTCTCTCCCCTTGGAACAAGAATAAAATAAGAACATAGGATATGCCCTAAATTTAAGATTCCTCTCACCTCAGAATGGGAGAATCAACCGAAAATAAGCTATATAAATACAGGTAGTCCTTCATTTAGTGACCATTCAAAGTTATAACAGTACTGAAAAAAGTGACTTAGGACTATTTTTCATACTTAGGACCATATTTATGAAGGTTGCATTGTTCTTTTGTAACCTTCTGACAAGCAAAGTCAGTGGGGAAATCAGATTCACTTAAAAACTGTGTTAATAACTGGAGTGATTCACTTAACAATTGTGGCAGGACAGGTCATAAAATGGGCAAAATTCACTTAACAAGGGTCTAATTTAGCAGCAGAAATTTGGGGCTCAATTGTAGTCGTTAAATCAAGGATTACCTGTACTATATAAAATGCTGTGTGTAATATTGAATTTCTACACCATCACGTGATTAACTGGACACATAAGGCTGGATTGTTCTTTAAAGCTCTCCAATAGGCATGGTTACAAATATTGGCCAATTTCTGAGACTAAGGCCTCATAGAAAGACGTCTGAGCAAAGGACTCTTACTGTGGTTCCCTCATGTCCCCATGCACACCGACAGCAACAGTTTTTAGTATGCTAGGAGGATAAAAAAATCAGGGGCTTCCATTTAATAAGGTTTATTATTTATTGAAAGAACAAATGGGAGCTACTAAAAACAATATTCAAGTCATTAATTATCATCAGGTTTTCAGCTCTTCCCATTCAGCTCTTGCTAAAAACTGGAATTATTACAGCTTTATCTCTTCGGTTAGGAATAAAGTATATTTCTGCCTCTATTCTTTTATACCCTACAGTGAGGCTCTATAACTTCTAGCAAGAGTATTTTGATGTTTTATAAGGAATCTTGGGAACTATTTTAGTTAGTACTCTACTTCTCCATCATTAATTTTCTCCAGTGACTGTAGCTCTGTGCCTATTTACCTAGGATTTTCCTTAAATCCGCAGTACATAAAGGGACCTACTTTTGAGTAAACATGCAAAGGGTTTGCTTCACCTAAAATGAAACTGGATGGTTCTGTGGTGTTCATAACTCCATAAATGGTAATGACTTGCAGTTTCTTTTAAAAAAAACCAACAAAGTGTGTGTCTCTTTCTTTCTAGGCTTATGACAAATAAATTGTTGCTCTCTGTCATCATCATCCTGGAGGTAATCATCCTGGGAGGTCTTGTCTACTACAAGTTCTTCACCTAAGCCTTGAAGAGATGCAGCTTTTCTCCTTTGCCGTTTTCAATCCACTATATGGACATTCCTTGGCAACAGCTGTTTGACACAGATATGAAAAGATAGATCGTATTTTACTACATTTAAAATATAGTGCTGGCTTGTTGTCAGTCTTGACATGTCCTTCTGAGAAAAGTGCAGTTGCTACTGGGAGGAAATGTGGCTGGAGAAAAGACAGACCGTGAACTACATCTGCAATATAATACGACAGTCATTTATACTGAAGATATTAATTTGTGGCACAGTTTGAACTGTCCCAACTGGGAAAAAAAAAAGATCTCCCAAGCTGAGTGAAGAATTCAGAATGTAGTACACTTTTTTGTTTTGTCCACTTGTTTAGTTGATCAGCAGAACTATACATAATGCCCTTTATGTGGCATCTATGCCACTTGGGAGACCCTAAAGCCGGACTTGCTCTTCATTTTCCGATTCATCCGGCGAATTAGGTGTTGGTAGATTCTCAAAAACAATGTGTGCTCCTTCTCTCGTCTGCCCAAAGCTTGTAGCAATCACATCTACTGCCAAACCAGCTGTTGCGTTCACTTCTTCCTGTGAAGCGCCAAGGAATGGATTTACTTCTACAAGGTCCATAGCTGAAAGCAGACCTGAGAAAGTGAAGGCAGCGAGTTATTTTGTAGCAAAAGACAGAAATTTGCAGTATTAAAAAAAAACAAACCTCTTAAACCAAATAACAGATCTGTCTCATTACATGTTGCATCATACTTCAATCCTACTTTTACCCAAAGCAACAATATTTTCCATTAGTTTTATTTCCTTTCCCTATGTTTTGATGTTGCCAGGAGCAGGTGAATGGTTCAATTTTTTAAAATACTGTATATGTCTTTAAAACTCCCTGACAATTCTAAACTGAGTCAAAAAGAAGGTTGGAGAAGTGTAATATAAATACACAGATAACAAAAGGGAGTAATGATAACTGGGGGATGAACTGGGAACATTGACTTCTCTAAGTTAGGTTTCCATATAGTTTAAGTTATGTTTCCATATAGCTTATGCTAAAATTTGGTTAGCATAGCTTGTAATTAGGAAAACTAAATAACGTGCCCACTGAGCCAAAAAACATGGCTATTGTCTTCAGTCCAGGATGACTCATGAATTGTTGAAAGAGGGGGAGAATAAAAGAATCCAAGATTTATTTTATTAACATTTTGATTTAAAACACTTCTGAATATTTTTGTAGTACAGATATCCTTGCAATCATATAATTACAATTTTTGTGATTCTTGTTACCTTAACCCAATTTTTTTAAAAAGATGTTTAAGTGGTTTTTACCTGTGTTGTGTATTTCTTCAGAAATGTACATGCCTTCACGATACGTTAATCCACCTAAGACACGTGTCCCTGTTGCTGGAGCCAGGGATGGATCAAAGGCATCAATGTCGAAGCTCAGATGGATTGGTCTTGGCCCTCTGACAAAAGATAATGCTTTTGTTTACTAAATATAGTTCACCTGCAATAGGTCACTTATCCTTGTCATCAGTAGGTATGGCTAATGGTTGCTAGTGACCGGGTTTCTGGCTTATTTAATTACCTAACAATATTCTTCAAAACATGTTACCTTCCCAAAAGATGATCGAATGTTTTTTCCATCACTTTCTGGATTCCAAGATCATCAATATGTCTCATTGAAAAGTATTGAATTCCATAGTTCTTCAGAATATAACTGTTTTGAGAAAACAGGTTAAATTTAAATACTCTTACACTCACTCTAGTGAATTGGGAGGAAAGGAATAATAACATTCATTTAAACTAGCTATCGTGTACTTACTGTTCAGCAGGATCAACATCTCTCAGACCAATATATACAATATCTGACGATGAAAGACAGGGCTTCAGCCAGGAAAATCCAGGAAGCAATGGCACCTTCAAAATAACAGAAAAAACATGATCCTGAAAAGACTAGTCTAGGAAATATTATTTGAGTGCCATGATTTTAGTATAGACTCACTCCCCGCCCCCAATATCCTGTTATAAAATCTTGTTTTAGTTAATAATGCTGCAATCATGTAACAGTTATTCTCCCACAAGAATAACTTGTAATAGATTAAAGATACTATATTTTTTCCTTTTTTCCTCCCACCTAGGCCAAATGGATATCAACATTCCCGATCAGAGAAGGTAATTAGGTCTCATTCACTTTCTTGTATAAAATTTGCTGGAATCTAGAACACAAGCTTTTGAAAACATTCTAATATTGAATTACATACAGGTAGTCCTCCATTTACGACCACAATTGGGCCCCAAATTTCTGTTGCTCAGCAAGACAAGTAAATTTTGTCCCATTTTACAACCTTTCTTGACAGTTAAGTGAATCACTGCAGTTAAGTTAATAGCATGGTGGTTTCCTCATTGACTTTGCTTGTCAGAAGGGTGCAAAAGGTGGTCACTGCAACCGTCTGAGTCAGTTATCAAGCACCTGAATTTGGATCATGTGATTATAGAGGTGCTGCAATGGTTGCATGAAAAATGGTCATAAGTCCCTTTTTTTCAGTGTCATCATAACTTCAAACTAAATGAAGTGTTATAAGTCGAGGACTACCTGTATTATGAACTGCACTGATGGCCAGAGGACTCCACAGGGAGGTGAAAAAAGGAATGTGGATGTGGAAAGCAATATTGCACTGCAAAGTATGCCTCTATTCTACACCTGTCATTGCACTCTTATAAAACAATTATAAATTTTATTGTCTTGAAAACATCAGATCCTGCTATGCCCTTTACATATTCACATTACTGAGTGTGTGTTGTTTGATAAATCTCTTGAATCAGAGTCCATTGCCAAACTGACTAGGGTTAATGAGAGTTGTTTTTATTTTAAAAAAAGATGAACCCAAATTACTTTTATCCCTGTCCTAGGGGCAATTAAGATTTAGCTGATTGTAACACTTTCCAAGTGTTAGATGTAATAAAGAGTATTTAGCTACGGTGTTTATTTTAATTTGCTTAATTTGGGTAAGAATGATAACCATGTTGAGCTGCTGAAAGCTGGAAGTAAATCTAGCTAACGAAGTCTCCCCATATCTTGTGTCAATAGTACTTTTCAAGTGGGTATGATCAAACAAGTTCTTTTTAAATTACCAGGGGGGCGGGGGGGGGGCTATTGTATAGAAAACAAATCCCTGCATGATCATTGTTTTGGAAGGAAAACTGCAGGAATACCAGCAAGTACAGCCATCCACTTTCATCTACAGTTCATTAAATAACAGATTATTCCTAACAAGGAAAAAATACGGGTAATCCTTATTTAGCAACTACAATTGGATCTGTTAAGCCAAGTGGTCACTAAGTAAAAATGTGACTGTGTTTATAATCTTTCTTACTTCAGTTTATCTTTCTTTACTTGTATAGTCCTGCAAAGGTCATAAATGTGAGGAATGATTGCAAAATTGCTTTGCCATCATCACTGTAACTGCAAACAGTTGCTAAATGAGGCAGTTACTAAATGAGGACTATGTAAGTGCGTGTGTGCTAATCTTCTGAAAGGATTGTATGGTAGAATTGCCATATAGTGAACCAATAGCCACCCAATCTCAAATCATGTTGACTAACTCAATATAGAAGTGCTGGCATCTTTATGAATTATGCATCCAAAGAACACCATTCTTGGATGTTCAGGATGTATGTCCCTACAAACTTAGTAACTAGGAGAAATATTCCATCTCTTTGATATCTAAAGTTTGCTTCCAATAAAAAAACATACCAATAACTCAATAAGTGCTATTCCTTGTTGACATCACCGTGCAATCTCACCTTATCCTGAAGTTCTCTTAAAAGAAATGAAACTGGCTGCCCATGGAGATTTCTTGATTGGCTTGTGAGTGGAGTGTTAATATCAGCATGGGCATCAACCCAGATCACAGAGAGATGTGGGTACTGCCTTGCGTGTCCACTGATGGAACCAAGTGCTAAACTGTAAGGGGAAAACAGTTCAAATTTATATCAGACTTGTCTAAATTGGGGAAAGTAGAATTAAGGTATCTAATAAATGTGAGCTTAGAGAATTACTTTGGAAGTCAAAGGTATAGGACAACTGCACTTAAATTCATATCAATGCATATCATGGATATGATCCTGCCCTCAATGCCTTGCCAGTGAGGGATTAAAGGGACACATGTGAAATCAATATATAACTTTACATTCTCACATTATCTAATCAGCACCATTTAGATAGCTAAAACAGCACTTAGACTTATATCACTTCACATTTCACAGTGCTTTACAGCCCTCTCTAATCTGTTTACAGTGTCAGCACATTGTCCCCAACAATCTGGGTCCTCACTGATGGTAAAATGCTATGTACATACCTTAAAGTCAATAGCCCAAAGTGTCCACAATATGTATCCAATGGAAAATCTGCACTGAAATCAGTAATCTTTTTTTTCTAAGGGTCAACCAGATCCTCATGCTAACCATAGACAACCATAGCCATCTTCCAGTGCTCTCCAGCAGCTGGAGTTTAGAGGCATTCTGGTGATATAGGTTTCCTCAAATAATGCAGGATTAGATTGAAATAGGCTGGGTTTTTTCTCGACTCATTGAGAATATAGTAATGGAAGCAGATGTGTGTTCCTGTCTAATTGCAAAAGAGGTTTTTTTAAAATTCAGGACTACTTTTTGTTTAGTACAATAGTAGTACATCCATTACCTACCTACCATTACTGTATGTCCTACAGTATAACTTTAAATGGATACAACATCATCTAGCCCCCCCCCCCAAATCATTCTCAGATTTAGTGTTGCCAGGCCCATCATTTGTGGAATTTCATCAAGTGCTATAAGCAAAATATTTTTAGAACTCAACACCTCTTTTTATGCTGTTCATGTTGGTTACTTTCAAGCAAGCAAAAAAACTTGTGTTTTGATGGTCTTTATATAAAAGTCATATGATAGTTTCACTTTTCCTAACTCACCTATGATCACCTCCAATGGTTATGCAGCTATGTCCAGCTGCCAGAGCTCCATTCACAGCGTCAGCCAGAAGTTGGCTAGCTAATCCTACAGAGCGTGGGTACTTGACCAGGTTGTTGTACAGTTCATCATTGGGCACCGGGGTGAAACTTAAGTCTCCAAAATCATATACCTGACAACCTAGGAACAAGCAGAATGGGAGAAGAAAGCAAAGTGATATAGATTAGCTTTGTTTGATGACAGAATATGATGGAATTTAGAAATGTTACTGTTTTCCTATGAATAATTCCTAGAGAGTCCTGATAAGTGAATCTTATGGAACAAAAGTAGAAAATTTGGGGGGCAAAGAAAGTGCTTGAAATTATGAAAATACAAGAGCACTCTCACAAAATGGTTGCTGTGATAGGTATTGCCAATCATTGAACTTTATTTGCCAGAATATAGGTGCATTATACCCTTCCACTTCTCTGAATATGTTTACCCAAAGTTGTTTTAAGAGGGATGACTATACAAAAGTTTTTAATTTCACGAACTTCAACTTACTTTTTCTCTTTTTATGGGTAGGTGGACACAACAATCACCTAAAGCACTGAGCTGCAGACACTATTTTATTTTCTAAGAACATTTATATGGAGTTCAGAGCAGTGGTGGTATTCAAAAACTTTTACTACCAGTTCTGTGGGCGTGGCTTGGTGGGCATGGCCATGTGACTGGGTGGGCATGGCTTTTTTTGCAGCCCACACCCATTTTTGGGAGCTTCGTAGCCACAGAGGAGCCTCTAGGGGGGTGTTTTTGCTCCCCCAAGGCTCCTCTGGGGCTCTGGAAGGCAAAAAATGGAGTGGGGGGAGCTCAGCTCCTCCCTCCTTTTTTTGCCTTCCTGGGCCTCAGCAAGGGGAATCCCGGCACAGCTGATCTTATCTACAGCTGATTATCGGGAGGGAAAAAAAAATACCTTAGGCAAATGTCAGACAGGCAGGCAGGGTGAGCGAGCATCAGGCGGGAGGGCGACTGGGTGGGGGTGGGGGTGGGGGGTGGTGGCCAGCCCTTTGGCAACCCACGCCAAATTCTTGCTACCAGTTCGGCCGATCTGTTGCGAACTGGCTGAATACCACCACTGGTTCAGAGGCATTAACACAAACATATCAGAGATATTGGTGTTTTTGCACTGCTCTAACCTACTGAAAAAAAACAGTAAGAACTATTAAGGAATTGAAGTCAGCTGGGACAGAAAAAAGGTTTCCATGGAGACATCAGATCGATGGCTGCTTTGTCATCACAAATACTGTGGCAAGGTGTGCATCATTTCAGGCTATTTATTTTAAGTTAATCTTCAACATAACACTGCCCTTCAGATGTGTTGAACCAATTCCTAAACTTCCCAAAGATCCAGCTGCTGAGGAAATCTTGGTCCAACACATGCACTTGGGGAAGATTGCTATAGTAGTTTTACATATATAGGGGCAATTTAATGATCCAGTATGAAATATGCATAGTCTAAATCTCTGCATATCTTTATATTCACTTGCCTACCATCTTCGCTTCCATTGCATGTGTTGCCTCTTCTTTAGGTTTGTTAGCTCTCTCTTTGTGATCTTATCTGTTCCATCCAACCATGTTTTCTTTAGCCTTCTCTTCCTCTCAACTACTATTCTTTTACATAGTTCAAGAGCAAGTCAATCCCATTTCTTCCTTCCATATTAATAAACCATCAATAAACCACCGTATCTTTCATACTAGTCACTTATTGTATTTGCTCCACATTTATTCAACATCCATTGCTTCTCAAAGCTATTTTTTCTTGTTCCACAAATGCATCTGAACTATCCTATTTCTAAAGTAATGTTTCTTCTGGCATACTAATTCTCTGAAGTGGGTAGAAGTACACTCTTCCACACTGCAGTTTTCCCTTCCCTTGTTGCATCATATAGAATCTTTAACATTTGCTGCAAATCATTTTGATATCTCAACCAAAATAATTTGCACATACTCTACATTCAAATTCCCAAGTAACACACCTATACAATCATTAGAAGCATTCTGTTTATCCATAAACACTTCTATCCACATCATTACAAACCCTTTTTCCTTGTCCAATGCCAACTCACAAAGCATTTCTTTCATCTTCATGCATTTTACTTCTATGAGTAGATGTACATGTGCATACTGCATTCCACAGCCAGTTTCAACTCTATATTGTATATTTTATATTAGTTTGCTTTATTATGTTTTCCTTAACTCTACAAAGCACAATACATTTTATTTTTCACATCCATTCATTTCTTAATGGTTTGGTATAAAGCAAAGGCTGGGGTTAGATTGCATTTCTCAGATTGTCATCTCTTAGAGCAAGAGTCTTCAAACTTGGCAAATTTAAGACTTGTGGACTTCAACTCCCAGAATTCCTGAGTTAATATGACTGGAGGAAGAATTCTGAGAATTGAAGTCCACAAGTCTTAAAGCTGTCAAGTTTGAAGACCCCTGTTTTAGAGACTTTCAAGGTTCAAACACCTTCCCAAGGACTCTCTAATTACTCTCTAACTACAAAGAAATTATGCAGTTTTTGCATTCACTCTTGGTAACTTTTCCTTTATATAAAGGAACAATAACAGCATTATTTCAACTATCAGTCGTAGCAGTAGCTTTCTCACATAGATAAATCACACATCACCTCCACAAGCAAGCCACATCTTTAAATTTTCTCAGTTATTTCAACTACTTTTCAAGATTTTTAGAGCACTAAATTCCTTTTCATCAGTTTTCCTTGGACATGAAAATTTGTATATGAACATGTAGTCAAAATGTGTCCAAAATTATCAGGACACTAAGCAGGGAATGCTGCATACAGTGAGTGGCATTAAGACTGATAATGTAGTCCTTAATTTAGCTTACTAAAGTTTTGTTTCATTTTCCAACTAATTATGTATTTCTTCCTTCCATATACCTTATATGTTTTTCCTATAGATACTTCTTAGATTATTTTCTTTTTTTTTTTTACTCAATAGTTATGACTCAGTTATCAACGTCAAGGTTTCGTCAAACTTTACAGTTAGTCATTTTACAATTTTAACATCAGATAAAGTTTACTCATCTTTCTTCCTTTTGAAGGATTTCCTATTTCACTACTTTTGAATAAACAATTTTTTATCCTTTGGCACTTAACAGCCTCTAAAAAAGAAATTAGGAGTTGAAATGTGTGATGAAACTTCTTAATAATGTATTGCACTCATGTTCAGAAAATGAAATTCACTTTTTACACTGAAGTATTATTAAACTGATCAGTTTTCCTTCAGGAATCTATGGAATGTTATAACTGCTAATCATTTTTACTGACTGCCACAAAACTAAGCTCTGGATGATTTGAGTACATATCAGATAGTGTAAATGTGTGACTTGTGCTTTAATTCAAGATAACTTGGATTAAAAAAACCTTTTACTGTGTTAGTTAAGTTTGTTATCTTTGTGATAATCTGATGGTTTCAAAACAAGGCAAGTGCTGAGTTTATATTTAACTCGGAGATTAGGAAAATTTAGTTTGATGAGGTTTTAAGAAGACTGAATAACACAGTATGTTTTAGAATTATTTAAGTCTATTTTAAATTATTCAATCATTATTGAAGTCGGTTTCAAACTATTCACTTTTGCTTGATGATCTTCTTTTCTAGGTGTTGAAAGCGATTAGGATCTCATAAGTCCATCTCCACAATGCCTTTCAATGTGTTGGGACTACACCTTTCCATGATTCCCTACCTCCACCTCAATGAGCCAGAGAATTCATAAGAGTGGGCTACAGACTGAGTGTAATATACTATAATCATTCAAACACGTTTCTCCTTTCCTTCAACTGGATAATGGCTGGGCAACTTTAGAACAATGGGCAAACAGCTATCTGGAAGGCACCAGAACAATAACGTTATAATGTTTCAGAGGGAAGACTCATGGTGAATCATAGGGGAGGAACGACTGGGTGGGGGAAGTTAGGCAGGAACACAAAGAGAGGACTCAGATCTTCGGGAAGGGATCCGAGTCCTCTCTTTGGACTCCTCCAATCCTGCCCTTCCCACTTACCCATGCTGGAGAGCTTTCCGACCAGTCCCGCATTCCGGATCACTTCAGGACCGTGATCCACTCCTCTTTTTTTCTGCAAGACCAAAGCAGGATCTGCGCTGTGATTCCAAGTTGCACCCGTGGGAAGTGGCACCAATGAACCCACTGCCACTTGGAAATTTCCACTTCCCAGGAGCATCCCTCTGCCACCGCCCCCTTCCCCGCCGGCCAGCCAAATTCTCTAGAGCAGGGGTCTCCAACCTTGGCAGCTTTAAGACTTGTGGACTTCAAAGCAAAGCTGGCTGAGGAATTCTGGGAGTTGAAGTCCACAAGTCTTAAAGCTGCCAAGGTTGGAGACCCCTGCTCTAGAGGGGTCCATCCCAACCTTTCCTTCCTGGTTTCCGACACCCTCCCTCCCCCGCCCCCCCCGACCCGCCTCACCGTTTTCTCCCCCCTCATCACGACCGCGCACTGCAGTCTTGTTCCTGTTTTTGGGGGGTTGGGTGGGGCAATCGTCGCGGATCGACTGGATCGGGCACGAACGATAAATCGACCGATCCTCTTCGGAGCATCTCTTTCCCCAGCCCAGCACGGGGCATCAAGTTCCTTAGGCTGGCTGGGCAAGGCGGAGGTCCGCAACTCCCCCCTCCCACGGGGGAGGGGAAGGAAGGCCCAAAGGACGCCCCCCCCCCACCTCTCTCTCTCTCTCTCGACCAGTACTGCAGTACTCCCCCCATCGCTGCTCCGGGCTTCTCCCTTGACCGCGACGCCCACCTACCTGGCCCCGGGAGAAGGGAGCCCCAATGATGGCCACCGAATGGGAGAGCTTCCGAGGGACCAGCAGAGGGGAGCCCGCTTGATGGAGGAGCCGAGCGAAACTGCCACGAACAGCCATGGCGGCGAATAGAGAGACCTCGGGAAGGAGAGCCACGCGCAACCCACCCGCTCCGTAACCGCGCCGGCGCCAGCCTGGAAGACCGCAGCTTTATAACCAGCAGAGGCTTTGTCGAGCCTCTGCACCTTTGGCCCCTCCCCTTGGCCCTCGGCCCACTTACGTGCCAATCGGCGTAGAGCTCGCCGGGGGCGTGCCTCCGAGCCCCTCAGGAGACGCGAGCGAACGTGACCCGTCCTCGCTTCTGCATTCCTGCTTGACCTCCCTCTGGCTTTCACAGGTCGTCCCGGAATTTCGCCCCCAGACCCTCCCCCCAGACATTTCTACCTGGTTGGTTGGCTTTGATTTTTTGTTTTTCTGTGTGTGTGTGTGTGTGTGTGTGTGTGTAATCAAATCGTTGTAAGGTGAGGAGTAGCCGAATTACCCGTTTGTTGGTTGAAAATCTGCCCGGAGATTCAGGGTTTCACATGCACACACACCCCTTCTTCCTTAGCCTTAGAATGACTTTATTGTCACTTTGAATGTAGACTAATAGGCATACATTAAAATGAAATTTTGTTGCATACAGCTCTCAAAAGGTTCTCCATCTATTTATTTTATTTTATTAACAAGATAATAGGTATAAGTTAAAATATAGTTATGAATACATGAATATATATAAGAATATATATATGTGTGTGTGTGTGTATGTATATATATATATATATATATGAAACAATAGGACAGGGACAGTAGGCAAACCCCAAAAACTTTAACCTTAGACTGTCTACTATTGACCTCACCCCTTTCCTAAGAGGTCTGTAGGGGGCGTGCATAAGCGCACCAATATGCCTACCGTCCCTGTCCTATCGTTTCTTTTATTTTTCTTATATGTATCCATTTCATGTATTCATAACTATGTTTATACTTACACCTATTATCTTGTAAGAGATTGACAAATCAAATAAATAAATAAAATAAATACAAAATTATGCATATGCCCACATATATGACCCAGAGAAACAACAGTCTAAAACCTCATAAAAAACCCACTAACAACACTCCTAAAACTAGGTTAGATATCTGCCTTTTTTCAAAAGGAAAGTTGGGCTCACAGATCCATGCAATACATGCGTACTGGACTAGGAGGGACAAGGGGACAATTCCCCTTAAATTCAGAGCAATTTATTTTAGTGGCTCTCTTGGAAGATTTAAAGATTGGTTGGTTAGTTATAATTATTCAATATGTGCCCAATTCTCCACTCAGGCAAATGAGCGTGTGTACAGATGAGACTTATGCAAACATAATTTCATCATTTCCAGTTCTTCTTTTCAGCTATGAGCTGTAGGATTGCGGTATTGGGAAATGATGTCACGCTGACTGTTGTTATTTCAGCTTCTATAGGAAATAATAAAAACTTATCTTAAGGGCAAGCCCTCTTACTCATTGCTCAATATGTTGGATGATGTTTTATGTTTTTGCATATGTTTTATGCAAAAACCTCCTCAATTATTCCCTTCACATATGTTCCACCTGTTCCCTTTGCCACATTTGCAGCCCAAGATGTCCAAGAGTGGGTTGTTGGTCATACACCATTTCCATAGAAATCAGCTATCAGCTAGTTACATTCCGCAGGTATTTCTTGTGTCTATTGCCATTTCTGGAAATAATGAGAGCTAACCAGAGTTGACCCATCAGTTTTAATTTTTTTGCAATCTGAAAGCATTGCCAACTTTCCAGAAAGATGCTTGTTTTTCTAAGAAAAGTAAGGATGAAAAGAAGTTATTGGTGTAGATCAGGTTATGAGGTGCTGGTGAATATCTAGCTCCATTTTGGTAGAAACAGGTTGAAGAAAATCTGGTCTTGCCAATTCAGAATTCTTTGAGTCATGGAATACAGCCTGGAACTGCCAGATTCCAGCATTCATGTAGTTCTCAAAGAGTTGTTAGTAAAATTAACAGCATCGAGCTATGAAATCCTATTTAAAGATAAATCTCACTGTGCTCATTGGATCGTGCTCACAACTAAGCACATGTGTATAAAACAACAGACGTACTTTCTTCCTTCCACAGTGTTTAACATGTGATTAGTCTTCCTGAGGTTCCTCACTTAAAAAAGGTAGTCTGGCTATTTTACTATGAACCAGAAATAAAATTAATTATGTCTATAAGATATCATTAGGCCTTGAGTTCAGAATGCTGAATTTAGCCAGAGCATGTGATCTTGATGAAGTCTTGTTTTATAGATCCTTATAGGTTAAATCAACCTCTTCCAATCAGAACATTACTAAAGTGAAGACTTTCAGAATTTTCAGCTAGCCCAAAGCCACGTTGAATAAAATCTGGCACTGGAAATGTAAGGTTAGGCTGCACTGCATAACTATCTTTTCTGTGTCACAACAGAACAAGTACTGAGGAGTTTCCACAACAGATTCTGAGATTCTACACTTCATGGAAAGTTACTGTCCAGATCATGGAAAAACACAGGACTGTTTTGCAATCATATTTGCTGATGCAATTCCAAATGATTTAGTTCCCACATCAGTAAAAAAAAATTAAAAATAAAAACATATAAAAATATGTTTTATTGTTTTCAATTGCACCTGCTTCAGAGATTATTAGCATTTGATGCCAGTCTGCTTTAAAAAAATAAAACAAGCATAAAAGAAATGAAACAAATAGTAAAATACATTGCAACTGTACAATTAATCCTGTAAGCATTGTAATTATGAATAAAGCGTATTAAGGAAACTGCCATGTGAGTAAAATATCATTAAAATATCAGTTATTGTAAGCTTTTAAAAGAAGTATTCTGTGAGATGAAACTATAAATATAAAATTGTGTCACAATTCCCCCCCCCCTGGAGTCACATGATGCTGTGTTCCCCACTTCTTTTAAATAATACCATTCTTGGCATCAAGACACACACACACACACACACACACACACACACACACACACCGAATTTTTGTAATTTTTCCTCATTGTTTTCCAAAGTCAAAAACATCAATTTCTTCAACATCTGTGTGCGGGAATAATTTTTACAAGGTTCTTTTTTTGTGGGTCTATACAAAACACAGGATGCGGGACCAATCGAAATTTAAAAGAAAATCTATCCAAGCCGGATCGTCTCGATTTTTCGGAACTGAGAACCAAGAACAGAACAGCGTTGCCCAAGGAAGAGAAAGACCAGGAGGACCTGATGCATTGGAGATCTTTTGGGTGGGCCGGTGGACTGTCCCTTCCTACGCTCCTGTCCCGGTTGTGTAAAGGGAGGGAGCCGGCGGCCGAAGCAGTCAAGGGAAGCCCCATCCGGCGGCCGGCTCGCCAAGCATTCCAGCACAACAGACAGCTCCTAGCCGGGAGAGGCGGAGCCTTGCTACCATAGAGCGACAGCGGCTAGAGAGGGAGAGTAGAAAAAGAGGCTCTGCGCATCTGCGAACCGCCTTTACCTCGCTCCCGGGCTCGGACATGGCGGAAGAGCGGGAATACCTATCGGTCTCCGGGGCTTCCATTAAGCTGCGGCCCCTCCACCACAGCGCCTCCTGTCGGGAGCTCCAGGTGCGCTGCCCTCGGCTGCAGTTGGGCTCTCTGACCGCCGTCACGTGCTGCGTGTGGCTCGTGGCTTATGGGCTCTTCGTCGTCAGCCAGGTATAGCTAGCTGTCCGGTCGACGCTCTTCGAAGCGGGTTCGGAAACCCGAAGTTCGTTCAGACTCGGGGAGTAAAGGGCAATTAATGGCCCGCCATTACGAGGGAACGCCCCCCTCCCCGCCCCAAGAATGCAGCGGCCAGGCAGCCCCCACAACCCTCCATTCCGGCCCCTTTCAGATTGCTGGCACCAGCTGGGCTCTTAGGGTCTTGTAGTGTTTCTCTTGAAAAGGCGTGGCCTCCCCCTCCCAGAATTCCGCAGTCAGCATTGGGCCACACATCTTAAAGATGTCAAAGTAGAGAAAGATTGACGGTTACATTGAGTAAGCATTATTGTGGAGCTGGTGGTGAACTGCCTTTATCACCAGGGCACTGCCACTTTATGCTTGTGGTCCTCCTAACCCTTTGTCAGGGTGGCAACTGGGTTTTCTTTGAAGACCCTTTCCCTTCTCATCCAAGAAGCTTCTTCAGCTCTAAAGAAATATCTTCAAAGGAAAACAAGAAAATCCAGTTGCCTCTTGAAAAAGGCACCTTTGGGACAAAGAAGACCTGGATGACTGAGAATCTCTTAAACCTTGTCAGGATATTAACGCAAGGCATTGTCTTCGCCCCATTGTAGTCCACCTGCATAGCAGGTACCACCACCCAACTTCCCTCCAGTTTAGCAATGGGACATGAGGCCATTGTTGTCCTGCTTGGTCCCTGGCCACTGCTTTTCAAGGCTATTTGTCTTTGGGCAGCAAGAAAGTTGGGGCTTTCTCCCTCTACATGCTCTTCAGGATCACTAGAATTCCTCTTCCACCATCAACATTCCTGTCCTGGTTGCACATGATATAGGGTGAAGTCTAGTGGCTCTGGAAGACTCCCTGTTGAACAATGGTTGAACTAAATGTCTCTGGAGATTCTCAGTCATCCAGGTTATGGTTGTCCCAAAGATGTTTTTTCAAGAGGCAACTGGACTTTGAAGACATTTTGCTTTTCATCCAAGAGCTGAAGAAGCTTCTTGGATGAGAAGTGAAACGTCTTCACAGAAAAACAAGAAAATTCAATTGCCTCTTGAAAAAACATCTTTGGTTCCCCAAAGTGAGGAAAGAACAAAACTCTTTTCTACATTTATCTCCTTGTATTTCAAAATGTTTCTTCTAGGGCCACATCACTTTCTGCTTATCTCACCTACCTCAACAATCTCTCTATCTGTAAGGAGATAGTTCACGAACCACCTTTTTGCCAAGAGGGTCTTTAAGCATTAATTCAAATATCTTACAATTTATTTATCGACAGTTTCTTAACTAGACCCGCAATTCAATGTAAAATCCATCATGTCTTGTGAAATTAATATGATTCTCTTTCTAAATGAAGATGCATATGATTTTGGCACTGGTTAAAAAAAATTAAGAGCCTATCAGGACAAAAAACTATTGTAAATAAAAACAGCTCAAAGATGTTTGTGACCTTCTATCTCCATTATATGTAATTATCAGTGTCATGTCTTCACCTCTACTCTTGTATCTCTGTTTTAAAAATAAATATGTTCTTATTTTGCCAGAAATGTATATTTTCAGATTGATGTACCATTTTTATGTCTGATATAAGAACAAGTAATATCTGTTTTATGAAACACAAATATACAACAAATGTACTACTGTGCTTAGGCAACTATTTATTGTGTCTGCATAATTTCAGCTTGTACTCTTAATATAGTGCATGAGCCACTCATATAGATTTAAATGGTAATGATCAGCTCTTCCTTTGAAAGTGTTTTATAGTATTGAAGTATAGTATATAACTATGTAGAATACAAAATGATTTTTGTTTTGTCCATTTGAGAACTTTTTTTCCATTACAGAATAGCATGGTGCTCTCCGCTTCTATATTTATTACATTGATTGGCCTACTTGTATACCTGCACTTTGTGAAAATTGACCAGGAGTCTCTGCTGATAATTGACTCGCTTGGAATACAGATGACCTCATCTTATGCATCAGGGAAAGAGAGCACAACCTTTATAGAGATGAACCAGGTCAAAGATGTGGTAATCAATGAAGCCATTTATATGGTAAGGAGATCCTTTTCCTACACTACGAAGAAATTGTATTAAAAATAACGAGATAGTTCAGAAAGAAAAAAAAAAACTTGAATATTTCATGTTCCTAGTGAAGAATCTGAGGAAAAGAAGTTGTGCATGTGCTTGTTCTACATTATAAAATACTGTTTCATTGCTTATTAATTTTGAAATGGGAGAACTCTGAAGGACGCTTCATCTATAGAGCTTCATAGGATTGGGATGGTTCCAGAAATGGCCCAGACATGAGATCAAGTTAAATTCTAGATATAATTGGCAGATATATAGTCCGAGCCTGAGCAATAGACTTGTTTGCTTTTGTCTAAAAAAATAACTGATTGCAAGTTGCTTCCTATTTAAAAACTACCATACCTTTGGAACTGTTTCAACAATCAGAAAAATGAGTGAGAAGGCAATATTCGGAGACCCAGTATCATGCAAAGCCACAATGTTGTAAATAATCTCTTATTTGACATTATGTTGTTTCTTGCAGGAAGTTAAGCTACAATCTGGCAAACCATGTCTTAGTTTAGTATATATTAGTATGTACTAATATATAATATTTATATTGTACAGTACATACTTGAACCCTGCCGTAGTCAATAATGAAAACTTGGGGTGATTCAAGAAATGGGAAGGTGTTTTATTAAAAAACCTGATACTGAAAGAATTCTTTAAAAAAGGAGACTTCTGTGTTGTCGTTAGAAGTTTCTCTATTCATATTTGAATGCTGTTCTAAAGACTCCCACTGACACAAATATTATTTCCATGTATATTTTTCTGACCATAGAACATAGTGTAGATGGCAATCTCTTCTACAGGATTGTTGTTTTAAGAGCAGATTTTATAGCTGGGATAATTTTATTTTTTATGATCTTATCTATACATTACTTTTAGCAAAAAGTTATCTACTACTTGTGCATCCTTCTCCAAGATCCTATTGAACCACATGCTGTTTCTGAAGTAGTGCCACTGTTTCAGGTAAGTATGAAGTGTATTGCTGAGGATGTTAAGACCTATCATACCACGTTTTTCTTGCTGAGATGCCTCTTGGGAGCCATTTGTTTCTTTGCAGTATTTCTTCTTTGGAAAATACATAGAAATAGTAAAAATATTAAAAGTGATTTTAAGTTAGAGAACAGCATTTTTACGTGATCTTTTTCTCGATCCCATGTTAAAGAATATATATCTTTGAAACTTACTGACTTGCAATAACTATGCCTTTAGATATAGCAGTGATGTGCTCAGCTGAGCATGGACTGACCACTGAACTTTTTAGATAGTTAATTTTGCACAGGTAGGTGGAGTAGTAACCCTTGTCACTCTTTGATGCATTTAAATTCTTGTTTTTCTCAGTTATGTCAACTCTAAAGAATACAATTTACCACCTCACTGAGTCTATTAACACTTCTGTAATCACGTATTGTACTAAATTAACCTGTTTTTCTATGAAACTTCTGGATACTCCACAAAGAGAGTTTCCAAATGGACTTTATTCTGTTAAAAGATCATTTAGAAGTCAAAAATAGCTAGAGAGCAGAGCGTAGAAAATTACTGAGTAGATTAAAAATAATAAGTACATTAATTTGTTTTTAATTGTTACATAACTCAGCAACAGTAAATATTATATATTATCTATTCTTTAGTAATATGTTATAATATTTTTTGTATTGATAAAGATGGAACTCTAGGCTGAATAAGAATAGTTCAGTTGAACGTAATGAATTCAGGCCTCAGTATATCTAAAGTCAGTGGAATTTATACAGTGTTCAGTATGCTAACATTGGAGTTAAACATGAAGTAGGAGCCATTGGCATGGAATCCTGAGCTCTAGGCTGCACTGCTAAATCAATTTCATACAGAGAACTAAAACTCCGTTATGCTTTTGGAGCTTTTCCTAGGAAGGAATTAATCAAGGAAGATTAATTTATTAAAGAACTCCCAGTTTGGGAAAGTTTATAAATGTGTTCAACTGGTTGTTGTGGTTGTCCTGTAAAATCCAATAAGTCATTTTTTACAGTGGTTCTGTATCAATTTTTATATGATTTCAGCTGCAAATTCACATAAAATATTATTTTTATTTATAGAGCTCCATGCCACGTCTAGACTGCCTTGTAGACATATACAAAAGTTGCCAAGAAATCCTGGAGCAGAGGAAAAAATCTTGATACCAGCTTTTAATGTGAAACTTTTTATCAAGACAGAAGAACCACAATAATACAATTTTGCCCAAGTTATTAGGTGAAGCTAATAACCATGTTAATCTACCTGGCTATGTTGACAACTAGGTAAGAGTAGATTCAAATCCACCAAGGAACTGTTAGTGCTTTTTTGAGAAAGGATTGAATGTGCAGCTGTGAAGAAATGTTACAGAACAAAATTACTAATCCAGGTTCCACATTTTCTTCAGTCAACTTCATGATGTAAAAAACTCAATGATATTTTTTTCCTGTCAAAAATTAACCCTGTCTAAATGACTGGAAATCTACAAGGAAAGCTCAGCAGAAATAAGATGAAAATAAGGTTTTTCCCCTTCCTAAATAAAATTCCATGGAAGACTAGAATCTGTTTTCTAATAATGTTGAGTTATAGTATATGCTATGTCCAATGGTATTTCTTTTATAGACTTAATTTTGTTCATTAAATATGTATACATATTAGTGGATTGTGATAAATATAAATGTAATTTCTGTAGATTTAATTTGTTAAGTAAAGATCATTTGTATTTATGGAATTCACAAGCAAAGTGATTTTTCCTGACATAAGGATGCACTTTGATTTTACAAAGTGTATTTTTTACAACAAAAGCTGAGAAACAAAGCTATTAAAAGACCCAAAGGTGTTTTTTCAAGAGACAACTGGACTTTCTGCTTTTTTCTTTAAAGATTTTTGCTTCTCGTCCAAGAAGCTTCTTCAGCTGAAGAAGCTTCTTGGGTGAGAAGTGAAACATCTTCAAAGAAAAACCAGAAAGTCCAATTGCCTCTTGAAAAAGCACCTTTGAGATAACCATGACCCGGATGACTGAGAATCTCCAAAGACATCCCATTAAAAGAATACAGTGAAAGAAAAGATTCTTATTGTGTTGAAAATCTCATTTATCAATATCACTTCCATCTTAATACAGAACACAGTTTTTATGCACAGGACATTAGCATAATTGTAAAACTAATTTTTAATCAGTTATTTCTAATGTCCAGTTAGGGCTGGGTGACATGGTCAGTATTAAACTTTGCTATACTGAAATGAAAAATCTGTCAGCGTTGCTATACTTTAAAATAAATGAACTGTAAATGTATAATAATTTACATGAGAACCTGTATGAACCAGAAGAGAGCCCCAGCTAATATCTTCCATATTGGAGTCTCCATTTTCTATTTATGAAATGGGGATTTTTAATTAGTTTATAATCATGACAAACACAACTGGAACTAAAGGACTTTCAAACCAATATAAAAATAAATTGTACCATACCATGTTGATAGAATAATATTTCTTATTTTAGGCTGTTGTGTTGCTTTTTATTGAAGATGCACATCAAAGCTTACTTTTGTATATTTGCATAACCACACATGTAATATCTTTGCTTCTTTGGGGAACAGAGTTTTTTTCAAGTTCCTGTGCTTTTATGGGGTATGCTTAAAGATCATGAATATGTTTACCAGATTAAGTAAATTTAGTTGGAACTTTTAACAGATCTATTGTAATAAAAGATACTTTTATTTGACAGGAAATTGATATCCCAATTTCCAAATATTAGTTTCTGATGCAAGAATTAGTTGGTTGGAATTAATATTAACTGGTAAGGAAGGCAGAAAGGAAAAGAAAACCATTTTAAATTTATTTATTTATTAACTGTCCTCTTATCTAAAATAGGATGCATGAAAATAACTATCACAATGTTTTTTTGCAGAAAGCTAATCTCAGTAGCCAAATGACCAAAAACTCAAATTATTTTATTTAGAAGTGATCAGTGCCAATAGTGGGCACATGGAAAATTAATTAAATGGTTATTATAATATTACAAAGAATGTACTTGTGACTGAAAAGAAAATACAATTATACGGTGCAAGCCAAGGGATTATCTGGTTGGTGAATGTCATGCTCTGTCATGTACAATATATCTAGATTTGTTCATAATGTTGCTAAATCCCCAAAGCATTTTATGAAATTCAATTTTTATTTTGACATGTGCATTAAAATACATCAGTGGGAATGATATATTTCAGTGAAAGTGGCTTCTGTATGTTTGTATGTGCATGTTTGTGTCTGTGTACACACACACACACATACTCAAAAATCTGAGCAATACACAAGCCTACAGTACAATACCAGAGCTAAGATTTAAGCATCTTTTACATCCACTAATCCTGCTTTCCTTAAAACTTATGAAATAAAACATTCCACAAACCTATCTAACTTCTTGTGTTGCTGAGCTGCTCTTATCACTAGTCTTGGGTTTTTACTATCCTTCTCCAAATATTTAGCTTCTCATGGCCTTGACCTATTGTTTCATTTCCTGACGTTGGTCCACAAGATGTGTAATTGATTCATATGTACATCCTTTGCACATAGCTTAAATGAATGTAAAACTGTCAAGGTATCTCCTGTTCAACTGGATATCATGCATATTTATTTGAAGTAAGTAACTCATACCCTCAGGGATACATTGCATTGCAGGCTTAGGTTTCATTCTTGCTTGAACATACTAATTCTCAATTTCTTTTTTACTTACTTGATTGTATTTTGAATAAAAGTATTAGCTCCGTTGGGGATTCAAATCTATTGGATTCAAACCCACTTTAGACTGTGCACAATTAAAAAGAGATTAAAAACAACAATTAACAAAAGACAACAAAAGAAACAAATATTCCCAAGAAGAACTTCAAATTAGCCCAAAGCCTGGGGTGATAAAAATCAGGTCATTCTAAAATAAGGCCAGGGCAGGGAAATGTAGATCTCAGCGGAGGGGATGCTGTTCCAAAGAGCAGGAACTACATAGGGGGCATGATTCCTGGATCTTATATAAGAATATGCTATTTTATTCATGAGTCTTTGAACCTACTGACTGTCGGATCAAACAGGATGGGCAAATGCCATGGAAGATAGACCTTAAATAACTAGACTTGGTGTCACGAGGGCTTTAAAGATGGTAACTTGCACCTTGAATTGCACCCAGAAGCTTATTGGTAACCAGTGCAGTTTCCAAATCAAGTGGTTATGTGGCAAAGCAAAGGTTGTCCATAACTGCCTGTGCTGCCATATTTGGGACAACCTGTAGCTTCCAAGTGGTCTTCAACAACAGTCCTGTATACAACACATACGACTAACAATAGTCTATATGTGAGATGACCAAAGCTTGACTGACTGCCAAAAGTGTCCCCTGTTTCAGAAAAGTTAAAGTCGGCCTGCAAGATGTATCTCTGCAAAAGCTACAGCTGCCACCTGCTCAACAGGAGTTGTAAGTCCACAAAGACTTCCCAGTAGTGCAGCAGCTCCAAGAAGTGTAATCCTATTTAGGATTAAAGACAATCTCAAGATGTGGGCTGTAGTCCTTGGTATGGTTAATGACCACATTGTTGGTGATAAGTTACAACAGTGTTGCATGAGTGGTGATTGTGATCAGTTCTTGAAGTCCCAGCTATCCTTCAACTTCAGCACCTCCATGATCACATGGAGGCGCTTGCTGACCATCTTGCAGCATCACTTGGTTAAGTCAGGATTCAGATAGACAACTGAGTGTTATTGGCATACTGGAGATAACAGTGCAAGTCTTAACAAGTCCCAAGTTTTTCAAGACACTGTCCAGAGATCTAAAAATCTTCTATTGCCTATGCTACTGGCAATGCCTGGCCATGCGTTATATTTCAGCAATAAATAAATTGTGAACAGATGTCCAAAAAAGTACAGTTTATTAAATGATTCCATATAAACTTTATTATTCCATACATTTATGCTGCCATTGTAATCTATAAGCCACCTATTATTGGAGCTGTTCTAGATAATCTACATACTGTATTTTAATAGCAACCTAACAAATGCAGGCAAGTTTGATGACGTGCATACCAGGTAAAGAGTGAGTGGGAGGGGAGGGATGGGGCCAGCCAGTGACGCAATTCACCGGTTCTCCAAACTGGGCAGAATCGTAACAACTGGTTCTATGGAGTTAGTCCGACCAGATAGAATCCCACTCCTGATTTTACCTAATATTTTAGACAGCTTCACATTTATCCTATCAAATATTGCTATCAACAATATATGTATTAGTATTTTCTTCTTCAGATGCTGCAAACTTTGCCTATGCCTTTAACCTCCTCTAATGGAGCTAGCAAGGAAAAAAATTTTAGAGTCTCTGTTAAAGTAGAACATACCTATCCAATTGATGATAATGTACTCTCGTTTCCTTCTAATAAGATATTTCAGAAGAGATATATTTCTCTTGCAAGAGAAAGCGAAAGAGAAGAATGTGAGTGGGGAATGTGAGTGTGGCAGAGTTCCATAAAGTAAAACCTATGCATTATGATTTAGTGGCTGTAAGTAATTAACATGTATTTAGAATTGTTTTTAGACTTTATTTTAAACATGTTCAAAGACTGGTCTAATTCCCTGCACAGATATTTTCTCTAAGGGCTACCAGATCTTGGCCACAAAACTCTAGACACCACAAGAGGGCACTCATAAGAAAGAGGAAACTCTTCCACTTTGCTGACAGCTCATGATTCTCCAAATTTTGGAGCTCAGATACAGTTGCCCTGACTTTCCCTGAGCCTCAGTTTCTGATTTGAGTATGCCTAGCTATCATCCCTTTTATCATACATCTGGAAAATCAACAGGCAATTCTGTGTTTTCGGGATTGTGAAGTGGTTAAAAATGGTCTAAACTACAACAGGTGACCTGTAGCTGGAATTAAGATATCCTTTCCTCCTAAAGGTGCCCATTTCCCCTTCTTTTATTAGCCAAATAAAATAAACAGTATTTGCTTTTTCTTTTAGCCTCGCTCCTATCAGTTTGATGGGAAAGGGAAGAGTGGGGAAAGCTCAGTGAAGGGCTAAATTTAGCATTATGATAGCAAAAATGCACTGTACAGACAATCTCAGAAAGTTTGTTAAAAATAATACTACTTGAATAATGAAATTATATAGTTTGCTGGCAGTACATCTGCCATCTAGCTATCATTAGTCTTATTTGTCCTATACCACTGCACCAGGGGTGGGATTCAAACGGTGTTACTACCGGTTCGGTAATTACTTTTACGTTTGTAAAAGTGGAGACGGATGAACTTGGAGACTTGCAAGATTCTGTTAATGTAACCTTTCAATAAACTTAAATCTAGTATTTTTGGGTGTGCGTCCTATCTGGACTTCCTTGCAAGACTGACACAAGGCATCTATGTATATCTGCAGACTAACTATATACTTTAAAGAGCATGGCAAAGTTTGGCTATTGCCTCTCTTAATTTAGTTGTCACCTAGTCTTTAATATTCACAGCTTTTTTCTGAATAATTTTAGCTTCTTCTGCTCTTAGCTGTCTTTGTTAGAAATATAAGACAAATACCCATAAAAGTAGCAGCAGTAAAAGACCTCAATAGCATTGAACTTTTTGCAAGATATCACATGCCGATGAAGTTGTACTTTGCTTTGGCAATTGACACAGAAAACA